TGCTTCCTTACATTATTGCTCTTATGTTTCTACAGAGTTTATTATATATTTTTTAAAAAAATAAGTTGGGAATTTTTGGTATGAGAGATCGTTGGAAAGAGTTAACTGAGTATTGTCTATATACTACAACTATCACTAATAAAATATATAATATAACTAATATATATATGAAATATATAATAAATAGTATATATGCTATATATAGATAAGTAATAAAAATATTTCAAAAACTATAGGTAATAAATGTATTACATGTAACGAATCTTCTGCAGTAATCATCAGCTAATCAGATCATATGAATTATGATAAAAAGCTAGATCTTAATTATTTTAGGATCCAGTGATTAGATTTTAATGATTCTTAGCTTATTAGAACTATTTTAGTAAGCTAATTCTAATAGTATATATTTTATCTAATTCGAACTAGTAGATCAAAAGTTATTAAGGAATTTGTGATTTTTCTTAATATTTTATATATCAACAGTACAAAGATTTAGGTAATTATTCAAATTTATCAACAGTAAAATTTGAACCTCAAACCTCTTGCATAGTAGTCTAGCAATCTAACTACTATATTAAGATTACTAAACATAAGCATAGTTTTTTTAAAAATTAAATAAATTATAAACAAATTGATTTTTTATTATAAAACTATTGAATGTAATATTTTAAAATTGCAAATTAGTTTTGTTAGTAAAGTATAATATTTTAAAAATTTTAAGTTTTTTTTTATGAGATAAAATTGTATATTTTTTTTTCTTAAGCAAAAAATATTAAATCATACTTTTTATTTTTAATCATCAGTAAATCACATAAATTATATATATCATACATATAATTTACAAATTCTTATTGTATAAATTCTGTGTTTCTGATATGATATTGTAATTTTGTGATAATAGTAGTTAAATTTTGGAGATTTAGATTTTATATTAATTACATGTTTCAATAAACAATTATATATATTATTTAAAATCTTTAAAATTATTAGAGAATTGAAAAGTAATATAATAAAATCAATAATTGAAAAAAAATAGTGATTTACAAGTATATAGTTTCATATAACTAAGAAAGAATTAATTAATTTATAATTATTATACAGTTTTAAAAACAGTTTTTAAGCGTTTCTTAAATAATTTATAGTTAAGAAATACAGAATTTACTAATTTACTCCACTACTTCTAATTGGCTATACTAATTATTCACTTAATGAATTATTTATATTTGCTACACAAACTTATATAATTGATTTTCATATCATTGATTAGTGTTTAGTCAAACTTTTTTTTCTGTAAAAAAATTTTTTCTAAAAAAAAAATTTATTCTTTAATAACTCGGAATTAGTCTCCACTACACAGATCACGATAACATACAATATACTCTGATAGCTTTGTATACATTGCTCTTATTTAAATACAATACAGTATACTGATAGTTCAAGATTTAAACATTTCTTTTAGTTCAGATTAAAACCAACATGCGTCAGATTAAAATCATTAGGCCAGCATTAAATGATCTGCAATAATCGGCCTTGCTAAATCCTAGTCCTCACCCTAACCCTAACTCTAATTTAGGCCAGTTTTAATCTGACGTACAACATTAATGATAATCATTCTATCGTCATGGGTGCCTTTTGTCACATGATCAGAATAATGAATTTCTATTGGTCGATTGTATTTTATATATATATCATTTCACATCACTCATCACATCACTCACAATATTATAAAACGATGGCCGTTTAGGTCTGATTGGTTAACTCGGACGTGATTAAGGACGTTAGCCAAATTTGATAACTATGATTAAATCGGTATACTACATACTAAAACGGTGATTGTCATTTGTGTCGTATACGTATAGTTTATAAAATCTTTAAACGATTACGTATCATAGATTCGATTCCATAATTCTGATATTGGTAACTAAATATTTATTTCGTATTATAATTAACAAAAAAAAAAAGGAGAAATTAAAATATGTAAAATGAGGTAAAGAACAGCAGGCGTAATTCATACGTGTGTTCATAACGATAACAGATAAGTACATTTTTATTAACAATTTGTACACGTTAAAAAATTTTAAACTAAGAAGTTCATATCTAGTCATTCTTTGTATCATCAACAGTATCGCTGTTCTTATTAACGTATACCATATTATCGTAAACTACTTTACCATAATAGGTGCCAATACCAACGGATAATATGCTTAATGATAAAGGAATAGGTCTACCATGTTTAATCATCCGAGGAACCATAATCCCTGCCAACACGGTGGAAGAAACTTGAAGAACCAGAGAATTAAAAAAAAATCAATAAAAGAAAATAGTAAATAAAATAAAGAAAAGGTGATTACCGAAAGCAGTTTCATAACCGTAATTTTTATTTTTTTGAATTAAATAACTATTATTTTATTAAAATTAATAAACATTAATTTGAATAAATAAATACAAATGATTTTTTTATTTTTTACTAACCCGCCAACGGCATATCCCATACCGATACCTACACCTGACACTATGGAGGGTACCGATTTTTTAGAAACGTAACCAGCAATCCCACCGACAGCACCTATAATGATATGAAAAGAGAAATTCAATTATTACAATTTTCCAAAAGCAAAATAATTAATAATAATTATTATTAATGTACATAGTACTGCCATTGCGTAAGCAGGATGATAATGCATGTTCAGCAACAAATCTACCGAATTTTCATCAGAAAGATCAAACAAGGTGAAATAGGAAGATCAATCAGTTAGGGATCTCAGTTTTATGCGATGCGCATAATAGGCATAACATAATTTGTATCATAATCATAATTGGCGCCTGCTGATTGGTCAATTTTTATAGATCGTAAAAAAAAAAATTTTTTTTTGTTAAATTCTGTTAATAATTATGGTAACTGCTACAGAACGTCTTGCCAAAAACCCCAAGTATAAATCAGATTTTTATGCAAGTGGTGGAAACCTTTTTTGTAAAGTGTGTCAAGATATAGTAAACCATGAATATGTGATAAAAAAAATACATTCTCGATGTACTAGCTTCCGAGGCCCAGAAATAGTATTATCTACATTTTGCTGAAATCACCATTAAATATTCAGAGAATGCTTCAGCAATATACCATAAATGTTTTTTATTTTTATAGTTTTGTTTGTAAAAATAAAACAATCACGATAATATTTCTCTACCAAAAAAGAAAAAAATTAAAGAACAAAGCGTACACTTATTGTACACTTATAGGGGATCTTGCTAGGAAGGAAAAAACAAGACTAGAATATAAAACGCTTACCTAGCAAAATAAACTCAATTTTGGGAATCCTTAAAGAAAAAAAAGATAATATAGGAGTATTTCAATGAAATTAGCCATTTCGAACGCTGGTTTTTTTTTTTTATTTGTAAAGACGCGAAAAAACGAGTATATAAAGAGTAAAGGAACAAGCTATACGTATTTAATCTGTGAAAAAGGGAATTAGGATTATATAAAATGTTTAATAAATAGTTAATCATATATTTTCATATGGTTGATTAAAGGAAATTTTTATTAGAAGAAAAAAAAATATGTTCGATTTAGATTCCGAGTATAGAGAGCTTTTGAATCCGCAGCCATTCATATACTGATATAATCAGATATAGTATGATAGTCTAGGTAAATGCAAGATTAAAGAGAGAAAACAGAAATAATAGTATTTAATAATAGATAACCTATAACCGATATTGATCAGCTCAGTGGCATGATTATTTGAACTACATTCAGTGGCATGATACTCGGTGGCATGTTTCACTCAGTGGTATGGTTATTGACCGAATTATTTAATTTCTTTTTAAATTAATGCTAGACAATTTTTATTAGCTGTTAGGTTTTTTATATTCTACGTACGTATATATTTTCTTTGTAAAAATTTATAATTTGATTGGTCAATCAACGTAAAATCTCCCAAATAGGGAAATAAAAAACTCTCACGATAATGATACGTATGAATTTTCAAACGACATTGTAAAAGATAACTTTTCTAGCACATACCAAGAATGTCATTAATTACATCATGTAATAAAATAATTGCATCATTTTCTCGTATTTTTGTATTTATATAAAAGCAGCGTTTCTCTGATATTTAGTGAGAAAATTTTGTCACCAAATAATCTGACGCTGAAGATCTCAGTAATATTGGTAAAAACACATTCATTTATTTGTAGTTTGTAAATCCTTCATGGTAGTAAATTTCTTTAACCTTTATAGGAAAAAATGTCTGAAGTAAACCAAAGATTTATCACAGTGCAAAACCGTCCACGTGCTAAGATTTCACTTCACGATCCACTCCCGTTAGCCAGTCGACTGAGATATGCTGTTCGTAATTTCCCACCTGAAGTACTTCCATTGGTAGTGGTTGTTACTGCAAGTCTCGGTGGTGCTACTTTTGCGATGTTTCATAAACTATGGACGGATCCACAATTAAGAAGGTTACCTGCCTTTAATAAGAAATAATTAATTTGTAAGATTTAAGGATTCGAGATATTTTAAATTTAGTCTTTTCTCGTGCGAATTTTAAAAAAACCTTATGACTTAATATAAGCTTGTTTTTTTTTTTTTTTTGGAATATCATTAATATCATCAAATTCAATTATTGATAAATTCCTATCCTTTAAAACGAAATATGTTAAAAAAATCATATAAATATTTATCCAATAATCACCGACTCTTAATTAAAGCAGAATATATTCTGTATGAAACTTTGATCCCCTTTAATTTCTGTTTAAATTATTGTTATTTGACTAATCAAAAAATAGTACATCTAAATATCAAAATTAATCTCTATTCAAATATTTAAATAAATTTTATTTTACTATAAATTTTATCATATAAAAATTTAGTAAATCATTTATCATAAATGAGAACCTTTATTTCAACATCGTATACGGGAATTTGTAAAGCTAGGATCTTTTGAATATACATCGCAACTATTCAATGAAATTCGCGGGTTTTAATCATCTGTGAATGACAATGAATGAATATTCAGGTTTTATATGGATATTCATTAAGAATTCGCAGATATTCATTGAATAGTTATGTGATTATATCACATTCTTAGTCATTACTCTCTCATTATTTGTAAAACAATGGGATAACAGGTGGTGTATCCATTTTCATCTGTCTATCACATTTTAAATTTAGAAATCCGTGAATATTGTTACGGGCGGATGGGTTGGTTTTATACTTAAAGTTTCTCGCCAGAGGCGTGAAGTTGGCGATTTGGTATTAAAGTTTATTAATTTACTCGAGTCTATGTTTTTATGAATGTTTTATTATATTTATCAAGGACTGCTTTAGGACTTTTATTTAAATTTAAGGTTATATGCACTGTTTATTTAAGGGATTCTTTTAATGATTGTGATAGTCCCGAAGGAGCTTATTTTACATAGGAGATATTACAGCTCTTTTTATAACATTTTGACTTTTTGGGGCTAAGGTAAGTTTTCCTATATTACTCTTGTTTTCTATTCTAACACGATATGTCTCTTTTTCTTTATATTATGACATTCCCCTTGTCACCGTTCTCGTCTATCTGCATAATATATTG